TCCCACCTGGTCACGTGACGTACCCAGCATGCACCCCGGTTTTACACACTCAACGGGCGGGGGCGGGTCCAGCAGCCCCCTCCCGCGTGGACTCCCGCCCACGGCACTCCCGCAGCCGCCCCCGAAGCGGAGAGCCAGTTTTCTTCGCCGACCGCCGCGCCCTTTCCCCCTCCTCCCGGCGCCCCCGCGGACCTGCCGCTTATTCATCCGCCGAACATCGTCCAGAAAGTCCAGCGACAGCATCCCGGCGGTCGAGGTGGCTGCAGCCGGGAGACCCGACCGTCTCACACTTCCGCTTCCGGCCGCCGACACTAATATCCGGCCAAAGCTGCCGGGCGTGGGGGGGGGGAGAGAGGGAACGTAGATCTCGAGGCCCGCCTAGACCGGCCCGAACGAGTTGCCTTGAGCCCTGTGGGGGTATACGTCACTTCCGGTTCTGCACGAGGAGTAGAGCGTGAGCGGGGGAGGAAAGAGCGGCTTTTTTTGCCGAGGAGGGCTTGATGCGAAGTCCTCCCGGGTATTTTTGTTTTTTTATTTTGCCTTTTATCTGAAAATCGGATTTCAGATGAAAAGCGGGGAGGGGGGATCTTTTTCTATTGCATATGTCTAGGCGGACCTGGCGTGCCTTGTTGCAATGCAATAACATTCCCTTGCAAATTCTGAATGAATCCAGTTCAAGTGTCTTTTAAGTGAAAACTGGAAATCTCCTTTTGAACAATGGATGGAATCTTGGTGACTTTAGGAGAGAGATGTCCAAACTTGGGAACTTTAAGACTTGTGGACTTCAACTTACAGAATTCCCCAGCCAGAAATTGAAGTCCACAAGTCTTAAAAAGTTTCCAAGTTTGGACATTCCTGCTTTAGGAAGAGCCTTTTTTTAAAAGTTAGAATTGTTTGTTAGAATTGAAAAATAGGCTGCCACTGCCTGATATTTTTCTTCCCCAACCTCCCCAGAGGTGTGTTGAGAAAAAACTTTTGGTGATTGGCCCCAAAGAAGTCCAAATGAAGGACTAGGGGAGACATGATAGCAGTCTTCCGATATCTTAGGGGCTGCCCCAAAGAAGAGGGAGTCAAGCTATTCTCCAAAGCTCCCGAGGGCAGGACAATGGAAACTAATCAAGGAGAAAAGCAACTTAGAACTGAGGAGAAACTTCCTGAGAGTTAGAACAATTAATCAATGGAACAACTTGCCTCCAGAAGTTTTGAATGCTCCAACACTGGAAGTTTTAAAGATGTTGGATAACCATTTGTCTGAAGTGGTGTAGGGTTTCCTGCCTAAGCAGGGGGTTTGACTAGAAGACCTCCAAGGTCCCTTCCAACTCTGTTATTCTATTCTATTCTAATCATGGACTAAAATTCCCAGAATTTCCCATCCAGCCATGTCTAGAGCTGGTGAAAATTTGATTGGCAAACAATTTTGCCACATTTCGAGCTGAGGAACATTGTACTGTAATTATTAGAAGGGTTCCTTTTTAAAATGCTCTTTCACTTAATGCTTTTGATTGAATGAGTCCCCCTCCTCCCTCCAGATCCAGGCCTGATCTTGTGCAGTAGGCTTTTCCTTCCAGCTGCAGAATCTTATCTAACTGCAACCTTGAGATTATTGTGCAGAGGTCTTTCAGCAATTAGTCACTTAAGGGTGGATCCGGTCTTTGTGCCTGACACAACCTGGTATTAAAAGATGACCAGTCCTGTGGTTATTGTCCCAATCTTCATGCTTCAGCAATATTTAACACCCTTATGCAAATGTAATCAGTTGATAGATCGCCCAGTAATATTCTCTTGAAGTTCGCAACCCACCCCTCTGCTAGAAAAATGAAATATCCTAGGAAATATTGAAAAGGCAGAGTGTTATATTTCCCTAGATGAGGTGGAGAAACATGTTTTTTTTAAAGGCAGGAAGCAGACTCACTTTAATAGCCCCCACCCTCCTCAATAGCACACAGCAAGATGTCTACACTTAAGAGATAAAAGAGATAGCTAGGTCTATTCATAGGCAAATGCCCTCACCCAAGATTCAACAAAAGTAGGATTAGCCCTCTACCCATCTCATCACCCCTGCTTTAAACACTGAAATCAAGTTAGTTTACAGTATTTGAGGCTCTGCTACGAATGTCCAGCATGGGGTCTGAAGGGTCAATGTGGATTTTGGGAGAGAGCTGCAAGGTCAGAGAAGGGAGTTTGGAAGCCACTCCATTAATTAGATGGTTTTATTTGAAATACTTTGAAGTAAACATTATAGCAAGGCACAGATGCCACTGCAGATTAAATAGATATGTGATGGCTTGGGAGGAATGTCCTCCCTGGCCCCCCCTGCTATTGTTAAACTATAGCTAGGCTAACTTGTAAAACATTCCCTAGACTAAAATGTACACGGTATCAAAAAATACAAAGGGTTTTTATCAAAACACGTCCGGCGAGAAAGTGAGCAATTCAAATGGCCGTAATATGATAAATAGGGTCAAATTTTTTTTCTCCTTTTTAAAATTATTTATAGTAAACAATGAGCAAGGGGTATCCGACTTTGAAACATAACAACCGTTGTTAAAACGAAACAAACAAAAAAGTAAATATTATACGAAGCGTGAGGAAAAGCACGCAGGGTGGTGGTGGTGGGGGGTTAGTGGGGCGGAAGCCACAGATGGGGGGAATGAGTCAGGGTTAAAGGGAGGAAAACAATCTCCAATCGATAGGGGGGCAACCGAGAAACACCCCCCTCCCCCCTCCAAACAAAACCTGGGAAGGGTGTGCTTTGGAAGAGCAGGTGTATTTGAGGAAGGGTCAGGCTGAGGCTGCAATCCCCCCCCCCTTCATGGAATAAACTTCATCATAAACCCAAAATCTGGCGATTCGTGAATTGACAAGTAGAGGGGATTCTCAAGGGCAGGGGTGAGCCACTATGACGACGTTACGACCTGTGGACTTCAACTCCCAGAATTCCTGAGCCAGCCATGGTGGCTGGTTCAGGAATTCTGGGAGTTGAAGTCCACAGGTCCTAACCTCACCAAAGGCACTCACCCCTGATCAAGAGACTTCTGGCTTCCTTTATCCTGCCATTTTTTTTGCAGGAAGTGAAAAAACAAAACTCCGGAGATCATATTAGAAGGAAAATAAACCAAGCCAATCTGCCCCTCTCCCGGCCCTCGGTAGCTTTCAACCAGGACTGGGAGCAGCTCCGATCGTTGATAATCCGAGAAAGGGGTGTGGGTGTGCTAACCATGGAAGAGATTGCCCAAAGATGCAGAAGTGGAAGCTTCACTTTTTTTTTTTTGCATTCTGATTCTTTCTTAACAATAGATGTCAATCTTTATACCTGGACAGTTTTTTTAAAATACCTGTGCCTCCAACTTTTACGAGAGGTGCGAGAGAAAAGGGGGTCTTTTAATCCACGGCCAGGTGTGATCAATACTTCGAGGCATGTGTGTTTGTGTGTGTGTGTGTGTAAGGAGGGGGCAAATCCTTAAGTGGATACACAACTGAGTTTCCCCTGCAACAGAGAGGAAGCAGGGTGCCCCCCCCCCACCCCCTTGTAATGAAATGAAAAAAGAAACACCTGCTACTGCAGAGTGCTGGAAATGTGTCTTCTAGGAATGAAGGCAGGTTTCATTCGCAGTGTGTCTGAAAGGTAATTTTTCAGGCTGGGAAGGGGGGGCATTTTTGTTTTGAAATTGGGGAGGGGGGGAAACGTGAGTGAGTGGCGATGTGGCAGGAAACTTCCTGGCATCCTGGGGCTAAGGGAGTGAGGGTGGGGGTGGAAGGTGGAGAAAGGACTGTATTTGTAATTAAAAACCGGAGCGAATAGACCAAAAGTCTCGGGCAGCAGGTGAATGCTTCGTTTTTTTGCCGGGGGGGGGGGGGGG